GCTAATTTTTTGATTTATTGTAGAGATGAGGTCTCGCCATGTTGCCCAGGCTGGTCTCAAATTCACGGGCTCAGGCAATCCTCTTGCATCAGCCTCCCAAAGTGCTAGGATTACAGGCATGAGCCACCACGCCCAGCTATTTTCTTTTTTATTATTAGAAAATTATGAGCTAAGATGTGAATGTTGGACTTAAGAAAAACTTCAAAGACCTGAAAACATGTATTATCTTCCAATTTTATAAGTACAAAGCAGCAAACATTTTAAACTCACAGTATAGAATATGAATCAACAGAGCTCAGAAAAATATCTGAGATTAGAAAGAAGATAATTTGAAAGACAGAAAAGAGAAAACAAATGCCATCCTTTCTCCTCTATTAGTGATAGCTCAGGAGGAAACAAAAAGAAATACATACTAAAATATAAGCTATCAAAAAATTCTATAAAAAATTTCTAAAAAACTAAGCTATAAAAATTCTAAAAATTCACATCATAGAAAGGCAATTTCCACAAGAGTGTGGATAAACTAAATTATGCAAGTAACTTCTAATACAAGACATTAAAGAGAAAATAAAAATAAATCTAATGATGCAACTGAACTATATAATTAGTCCTTTCAATTTCCTACACTCTCTCCTTTGTCCACTCCCTCACATCTCTTTGCAAGTACCCTCTTCTGGGCCACCGTAGTAGTCTAGAAGCTGAAGAATGGGGTCTGTTTGGGAAGAGGTACTATGCACATAAGTACTGCTTCTGGTTAGTGTGAAGGGCACAGACTTTGGGTCCAGACGGGCTTAATTGTAAATCTCTACTATCTACTAGCTGTGTATTAGCTTTAGAAAGATAATATCTTCTGAGTCCCAGACAATTCATCTATAAAGTGAAAATGATAAAATACTGTAGGCTGTTATGAAGACTAAGTGATATAAAACATATAAAATGCTAAAGAGTGCCTGGCATATTTAATGGTGATAGCTATTTTTCAATAGTTTATTCATCACATTTTCTAGGATTGAATATAAAACAGAGAAAATGTTAAACATTTCCTCAAAGCCAAATGGGAAAAAAATGTAAAACCAAAAGTCTCGTGGATATATAGACTTACTAACAATTCCACTTTCTTTTGCTCCAATTTACATTCTGACTTTGGAGGAAGAACCTCAGTATTTTTGTGACCATCATGGTAATTCTCATGTCCTGGTTCCCTTGGTTGACTTTCAATAGTCTTTGGATTTCCGTCACCAACAGGAGAGGTGAGAGGAAGAATAGGGGAAGAAAAATGTGGTTTCTGAGTGTTAAGTCTCTGTTTAGGTGCAGAAAGCAGCTGCTCTGGAGGTAAAGAGGTTGATCCATCTTGAAGTCCAAGTTTTTGGCTTTGTTCCTGAAGGGCTTTTTCTCGCTGAAGTTGCTGTCGACTTTTCTTTAAGGGGATACGTCGCTGTGGTTCAAATGTATCTATAAAAAAAAGAGAATGGAAGAAAATTCCTTTGTGTGAGAGGTAATAAATTATAATATCTCTAAGAAAATAAAACATTAAGATTTCATAACTCTACAAGTTCCCCGAGCCCATTCTCTATCATTAAAGCACAGGGAAAAACACCCATCTTCCTGTGGAACTCCAATAGTCCTCAGATCATATGGTTAATATTCAATAAGAACAATCCCAGATCTTAATTTATCTTCAGAGAAAGTCCATTTGTCTGTGAGTGAGGCCTTAGGACCCTAAGTAAGTTTGCTTTTCCAACTTGATTTGATAATTATCAAAAGAATCAACTAATTTTGATCAAACTAGGGAAATGACTATGTTCTCTGTCAAATTTGTTATATGATTCTGTCTGTTGTGAAACAAAATGGTGGCTGAATCTTCAAATGGGACTCTTCTCTCTTAAATTTTAACAGCATTTAGGGCAATTTTACACACATTTAGGTGCCATAACAGAAATGCAATTGAGAAAATTCTGTTATTTCTAGGAATGTTAATCCTAAATCTTCTTTCACCTAACAGAACAACTAACAACAAAGTCTAGTTAGGCTCTAATCAATGCATTTAAACTAATCTCAATAGTAGTCTGAGCAAAGCAATAGAGAAAGATGAAACAACTGGGGAAATTTTTTTTTTAAAGTATAAACAAAATAATACTACTTCTATTGTACTTTTTTGCATTGTCCAAGCCAGTGTTAACCTCTCAGGGCAGACAACTGTAGAATGTGTCTCACATTCAAATTATTTTTAATATGCTTGATAAACAGCATTCTCTACAAAATGTCTGGGAAATGAAATTATGATGAGTACTTGTAAATGATGAATAACTTATCAACAGGACTTAAAATCTTTGAAGGAACACAAGCTTATTATTTTTTTTACATTTTTTAAACCTTTTTATTTTGAAATAATTATAGACTTAAAGGAAGTTGCAAAGATAGTACTGAGAGGTCCCACGAAGAATTCAACCAGTTTCCCACAATGGTAGTATCTTATATAGTTTTAGTACAGTGTCAAAACCGGGAATACAATACTAGTACAATGTATGTGTATAAATTTATGTCATTTGCTGAATTATATTGCAAGTTTATGTTAAGTAAACAAGCTCCCAAACTAATTTTCAGAACAGCGGTACCATTTTACATGCTCATTAGCAAAGTATAAGGGATCTGGGTCTTCTGCATGCTTTTCAGCATTTGGACTTTTCACTATTTTAAAACTTTAGTTCTTCCAATAGCTATTTAATGGCATCTAACTGTGGTTCAAGTTTATTATTTAAATTGCCAAACAAATAGCCCGATTACAAAGTGGGCAAAGATATGAATAGACGCTTCTCAAAAGAAGACATACAGGCAGCCAACAAATACATGAAAAAATGTTCAGCCTCACTAGTCATCAAAGAAATGCAAATTAAAACCATACTGAAATACTACCTAACTCAAGTCAGGATGGCCATCTTCAATAACTAAAAAAAACAACAGATGGTGGAGAGGATGCAGCAAAAAGGGAACACTTCTGCACTGTTGGTGAGCGTGTAAACTAGTACAGCCTCTGTGGAAAAGTGTGGTGATTCCTAAAAGATCTAAAAATCGACCTTCCGTATGACCCCACAATCCTCCTTCTGGGAATATACCTGGAGGAACTCAAATCACTATGAAAAAGACACCTGCACATGCATGCTTATTGCAGCATTGTTCACAATAGCAAAATCAGGGAACCAACTGTGCTGCCCAATGAAAGAGAATTGGACACAATGGAGTATCACATAGCCATGAAGAAAGACAAAATTATGAACTTCACATCAACTTGGATGGACTTAGAGTCTATAATATTGAGTAATCTTTCACAGAAACAAAGAACTGAGTACCACATGTTCTCACTCATAAGCAGACCTTGAGCAATTATAATACTATAAAAAAGGGATTGGCAGTAGTGGGAAACTGCCAGGGGAGGGGCGTACACCTCATCAACAAGGGTACCTGTATAATGAACATTTATATACCTAACTGAATTGTATACCACATCTTTAAAATAAAAAGTTTAAAATTTTTTTAAAAATTGCACAAGGTACAGTTAAAAGCCCTATAGTCACAGTCCCAGTTTTGCTTCTGTTAAGCTCAGTGACCCCAGGGGAGTCAGTTAATTACTCAAAACCTCAGTTTTCTCATCTGTCAAACTGGTTACAAATTACCTGTTTTACTTAACGCAGGAAGTTGGTGTAAGAATTAAATATGTATAGAACTTTTTTTAAAAAAAGATACAAGTATTATAAAAGCAAATGTTATTGATGATTTTAGTCAGAAATACAAAGTATTCTCCTGTATTTTGGAACAGAAACTTACTCTTGACTACTGATTCTCACACCATTGGAAAATGTCTGACCACTCAGTCCAACTCATTAGCTTAATCAACAGTCCCTCTGAAATTTAGTTACTATAGTTTTTATTTTATTTTGCATTTTTTCAGAACCTACCTATAAGATTGAAAATGCTAATTTTTTCATTCTCAGACATAAACAAATCAGGCTACTCACAAACAGAACATAACTGTCTGCCATATTGTGTACTGCAGGTAGCAAATACCAAGAAGATTGTGAGCCGGGTTTGGTGGCTCAGCCTGTAATCCCGCGCCTTTGGGAGGCTGAGGTGAGTGGATTGCCTGAGCCCGCAGGTTCGAGAACCGCCTGGGCAGCGAGACCAGCCAGACCTCATCTCTACAATAAATCAAAAAGTTAGCCGGGCGTGGTAGCGCACGCCTGTAATTCCGGCTACTCAGAAGGCTGAGGCGGAAGGATCGCCAGAGGCCAGCAGGTCGAGGTTGCGGTGGCTGGGAGCGGCCACTGCACTCCAGTCTGGGCGACAGAGTGAGACTCCAACTCAAAAAAAAAAAAAAGAAGATTGTGGTAAATGAGCAGCATAAGTCTGGTAAAAAGGGGCAATTTATAGTCTCCTATTGTCAACTGCAGTCATTTAAATATTTAGATCATTAGCCGAGCTCGGTGGCTCAGCCTGTAAGTCGCGCCTTGGGAGGCTGAGGTGAGTGGATTGCCTGAGCCCACGGGTTCGAGACCTGCCTGGGCAACTTGGCAAGACCTCATCTCAACAATAAATCAAAAATCAGCCGGGCGTGGTAGCGCATGCCTGTAATTCCGGCTACTTGGAAGGCTGAGGCGGAAGGATCGCCAGAGCCCAGCAGGTCGAGGCTGTGGTGGCCGGGAGCGGCCACTGCACTCCAGTCTGGGTGACAGAGTGAGACTCCAACTCAAAAAAAAAAAATAAATAAATTTAGATCAGTGAGTCAGACACTATTATTTTTCAGGATTAAAATATAAATTTTTACATAAAATATTCTGATTTTTAGATGTAGGAAACTATATGAATCAGGGAAATCTAGACTATGCTGCAGGGTGAAATCTTAGTATTTTTTAATTGCAAGGGTTTATTATTCATTGATGCCATATGCAGAGTGTTGCTAGCCACCATGATATGGGGAGGATAGCGAGCTCAGGAAAGTTTTGCTATAACAATTAATTGCTCTGACCAGCAGTGACATAATACTTCTGCTCACAATTCAGTGGCTTGACTAGTACCCGGACCTCCACTAAACAAGCAAAAGGCATATGATGGTCTAGGAAACAGCACTAATGAATACCATCACTATTAACTTATAAAAATAAATTTAAAATTGGAGAGAGACAGAAAAAGTCAAATTAACACATTTTGGGGGTTAATAAGCCAACAAGCTATCAGTTTGTGATTTCTGCTCCATATCCTTTAAGTCCTGCTTACTCCATCACCAAAAAAGATTTTAATCATGTGCTAATCTTTCCCTTCCTTCTATAATAGCCATATTGTATCTACAAATATTTCTACAAAGCATTCACTTTTTTTTTTTTTTTTTACTTCATATAATATTGCCAATAGTCATCCACATTGTTCATGCTGATGTAGTCATTCATTCCATTGTGTGAATACACCAGAATCTGACAACCTTCTTCCACGGATAGACATCCAGGTTGGTTATAGGAATTTTCTTCTGTTACTTTCACAGTTATGTCTCCTTTTTTTTTTAACATGTTCAAGAATTTACTTTGGCTATTATCTAAGGACTGTTGGACCATAAAGTATAACCAGGAGAAATGTCAAAGTGCTTTCCTAAGGGAATCATCCCCTCTAGCAGCTATTAGCTTCTATGGATGCATTTATTTTCAAAATATGATATTGACAGGTGTTTTAATTTTTGCCAATCAAATGAATGTAAAATGGTATCTCACTGTGCTCTTGATTTGTAATTTTCTGCTCTTTAATGGTAAGGAAAATCTCTTCACTCTTCCTTTTCTATGATATTCTATTCATGTCTTTCATCAACATCTCTTTTGGCTTCTATTTTTTGCTTCAGCAGCAGAAAATTAGAAAACATGATTAAAAACAAGATATTTCAATATCAGAAGTTATCACTTACCTAGAAACAAATCTAACAAAAAGATATTTAGGACCTCCACAGGGAAGACTCCCAAATTTATTAAGAGACATTAAAGAAGACCTAAATAAATGGAAACATATCCCATGTTGGTGGTATGTTAATAATACGAAGGTAAAACTGATTTAAAGATTCAATGCAACTACAATAAAATTTGTTTTCCATGAAATTCGATAAATATTTTAACAATTATATATGAAAAGATTCAAGAATGGCAATAAAACATCTAAAGAAGAAGAGCAAAAACAACAAACTCCTGATATTAGGAATATTATGGAGCTTAAGGCAGTGTGGTATTGGTACAGGAACAAACAAAATGACCAGTGCAATAGAACAAAGAACCTAGAAATTGATTCATACATGTAGGAAGCATTGGTATATGACAGAGGTAGGGTGTAAAATCAACAGCAAAAGGTGGGATTGTTAAATAAATAGACCCAGGGAAAAATAGTTATCTATATAGGAAAGACAAAATCACATCCACACCATACAAAAATAAAAATTCTCCCACCTTTGTTTGTTTTTTTAAAAAGAATCTTACTAGAGTACAATGGTGTGACAATAGCTCACTGCAGCCTCAAGCTCCTGGGCTCAAGTGATCCTCACACTTCAATCTCCTGAGCAGCTGGGACTATAGGTGAGTAGCTGGGATTACAAGTATGCACCACCACTCCCAGCTAATTATTAATTTTTTTGAAGTGATGGGGTCTTGCTATGTTGCCCAAGCTAGTCTTGAACACCTAGGCTCAAGTGATCCTCCTGTCTCAGCTTCCCAAAGTGCTGGGATTACAGGTGTGAGCCACCGTGCCCAGCCCCAAAATTTTCAATAGAAAACAAAAAGTAGTATATTTTAGATATTATAGTAGGAGATTGATTTCTAAAGGCACAGAAATGTTGGCTATTAAAAAATGACTGATGAATCTGAATATATTAAAATTACTTTGTTCATCAAACGTAAAAGTGAAAAAACAGGTTACAAACCTGGAAGAAGATATTCATAGTATAAATGGGAAAGAACTACTATCAAGAATAAATCACTCTTGTGAATAATTTCTTTAATTAGAAACTGACAGTGGCTGCACTGTTTTCTCACTTTCATTTTTTCATTATTAAATTCATCACATATCAAATATATGTATGTATGTGTCACACACATACTCTTCCAATCTGTACAGATTATTTAAAAAAAGTTAAAAAATAAAAAATGAATGAAATATATAAAATTACTGTTTAAGAATAGACACAAATGCTCTTTTGGAATACACAAGAGAATTGCGTTTCCCCCCCCCCCCCCCAAGTCATATCACATGCTTTTGGAAAATGAAACAAGTAGGAGTGACACATGTCATTTACTGGTAAAAGTATTTAATGGCCAATATTTAATCTTCAATCTTCTTTTCTTCCTGCTATGGTGAAAACAGATGGTGTAGAGTAACTGTGGAGTAGTCACCTGCAAACCTATGCTAGATATGAAACTAGAGTGAAAAATACATCTTTATTATTTTAAACAATTCATATTTTAGGGCTATTGGTTACTTCAGCTTGACTTGACTTAACCTGAATGTGTAATTACCAATACCTCTGAAATTCCTTATGTATTTTACCCTTTGCTGATCACATTCCCTTGCCTCTCCACCAAATGTAGTTATGCATCTCTTAACTATGGGGATACCTTCTTCAAAATGTGTCACAAGACAATTTCATCAGTGTATAAACATCTTAAGAGTATACTTGCCGGGCTCGGTGGCTCAGCCTGTAATCCCAGCACTTTGCGAGGCTGAGGTGAGTGGACTGACTGAGCCTGCGGGTTCGAGACCCGCCTGGGCAACTTGGTGAGACCTCATCTCTACAATAAATCAAAAAATTAGCCGGGTGTGGTAGCGCATGCCTGTAATTCCGGCTACTTGGAAGGCTGAGGAGGAAGGATCGCCAGAGCCCAGCAGGTCGAGGCTGCAGTGGCCGGGAGCGGCCACTGCACTCCAGTCTGGGCGACTGAGTGAGACTCCAACTCAAAAAAAAAAAGAGTATACTTACACAAACCTAGTTGGTATCACCTACTACAGACCTAGGTTATATGGCATGGCCTACTGCTCTTAGGCTTCAAACCTGTATAGCAGGTTGCTGCACTGAACATTATAGGTAATTGAAACACAATAGTGGCTATTTATATATCTAAACAGAAAAAGTATTGTAAAAATATGGTATTATAATCTTATGGGATATGTGTATATAGTCCATTGTGAACTGAAATGTTGCTATGCAGTGCATGACTGAATATATTATATATACAGTTGTCCCTCAACAAATGAAGGTGATTAATTCCAGAACCCCTCATGTATACCAAAATCTGTGCATATTCAAGTCCTGCAGTTAGCCCTGCAGAACTTGCGGATACAAAAAAGTTGACCCTCTGTATATGTGGGATTTTGCATTCTTTGATACTGTATTTTCTATTGACACTTAGCTGAAAAAAAAAATCCATGTATAAGTGGACCTGTACAGTTCAACCTAATGTTGAGGGGTCAACTATAATTACACCCATTATATTAACATACATATTAATGCACATGGCTACAGTTACTATATTCCCACTGGTTGTACAATAGCCTACTAGATGAATATACCACAAGTTATTTATCTAATCCCTGGTTAGTGAACATTTTGGTTGTTTTCAACTTTTTAATATAATAAGTAAGAATTGTTAACTATATTCTTGACCATGTTCCTCAATGTATATACTGCTGTCCTTATTTCTGCTGGCAACCAACTGCATCTTCCTAGTTTATACTTTTCAGGCTGAGGAACAGCCTTACTTGGACCCTAAAATCTTCTAGTTTTCCAAATGAGAAATACAATGTGAAAAGACTTGCACACAGATCTGGGAGTTCTAAATGCCAATCTCTGTATTTGGTCATAAGTATACAAGAATGTTAAGGTGCTTTCTCTGTCATCAAGGTGGTGACACACTAATGATTTGGTGTCCATGTTTTTGTCTCAAACCATGGACCTTGAAGTTTGGGTTCTTGCCAACCTCCATCTACCCCAAATTGCAAAGATAATTCAAAATATATTTCTACATGACAAAATGTATTGTTTAATTTAGAATGCTACATTAAGAAAAGCATTAAATCTCCCTTATTCTGGAAAAATCACCTCTGCTAACACATAAACTCTGTGAAATCTTCCTGAGTTCCATCCAACCCCAGCACAGTGAGGTTCCTCCTACCTCTAAAGCAAGCTCCTGTACATCTCCTACTACATTATTTTATGGTTTGTCTGCTCACTAGACTATTGGAGTCAGATCAGAAGCCAGGGTGCTTGTACTCTGTAAGTTGGAATATGTGAATGGATGTTGAAAACACCAGGCAAAACGATTTGAATACATCAAGCCAGATAAAGTCAGTCACACAATGTAGTATAATATGTATTATAGAGCTTTTAAAGACCTCTGAACCAATCAAAACGTGTCCAGTCTGCATCATCTGTACTGGCCCTATAACACTAATTCCTTTTCCACTTGTCAGCCCTAGATCAGTCTCACATCTATGCTAAAAATGCACAGGCTACCTGAGCAACATCCAATTTTCCCACAAACTCTAATAAAAAGCATGGCAGGATTTATTTTTCTCTCAAAATAGTTACATATGGTAACACCAGGGTCACCATACAGATTTTTATGAAATTTCAACCATAAGCAAAACACAGTTCATATCACTCAGCGTTTTCCATCAAGTATCAGCAAACTTAATTCGCTCATTAATTTTTTTCTAAATACAAGCCCATTCAATGATTATAAAGCGGGAGGAGGCAGCACAGGATTTTAGTTTACCCCGACGTCAGTAAGGCTTTTTGTACAATGTAATACGAAGCCTTCCATCTAACCTCTCAAGATCCTTTCGGTGAGCTGACTCTCAAGAATTAGAAAGAACTGCGAAAATCATCTGGCAATCAGAAGTGAATGCAATGCCCCAGATGTATCATGAAAAGCACCGAACTGTTGCGTTTATTCAGACCTCAGTGCTCCCCTTTTCCCAATGGTTATCTGCTTCTAGAAATCCATCACAATTCCAGTACAGCGTGTGCCCCTCCTCCCCACCCTCCGACCACTGGTTCGTGCAGCAATCCTCCCGGGAGGAGACCCCAGGCAGCAGGCTCACTTCCTCCTCCGAGTCTCTGGAACGGATTCCTGGTCCCTCTTTCCTAAAACACGTCAGGTCCCCAGGCTTCCCCTCCGCGCGTGGCTTCAGGTACATCCATGTCTGGAACCCGATCCGTGCTGTCCGCAAACTTACTGCTCCATCCTCTCACACAGGTTCTTCCACGACCCCAGCCCCTCAAAAGCTGCAGCCCCGCCCCTTCCTCTCAAGACTCCCAAAATGAAACTTCTGCACGCTCATCTCGTTACCTTTAGTTTGCTTTAGTCTTCTCAGCTCCTCCTCAGAGAAGCCGGCCCAACCCTGCGCCATCCGCCCCGGCTGCCTGCACCCCCGGGGTGCCCAAACCTCGGAGCCCCGACTGCCAACACGGCTGCCCAGGCACATCCGGGTTCCTCTCGGCCGCGGCCAGTCAGCCAATCAGCTCTTCGAGCTCCGAACGCAAGGCCCTCTCCGCCTGGCGTCAGAGTCCCGCTCGCTTGTGCGCTGCCTTCCGCAGTGCCTGACAAACTGCCTAAGGATACCTGACCACGCAAACATTCACGGCCCCTGACTCGCCTCTGCTCTTCTCACAGTGCCTCATGAGCGTTGACTAATCGCTCCAAGAGATAAGAGGGGAAAGGGTGACCGGAATAAGGGTGGAGATAAACAGGCAGTTAGTAAGTGGCTGCGAGCCGGAGGCGGGATCGAGAGGCGTGACCGCCCCTTGGGGTTCTCCGCGAGCTAGCCTTGCGTCCCGGGGCAGTTGGGAAGCCGCGCCTTTTGCTGAGAAAACGGCGAGGAAGCCTCCTGCAGATTGGCTCAAAAGACCATATTTAGGTTTTTAATGAGGAAGAAACATTTAAGAGAGCTGGCTATAGTTCATGAAAAGGGAACAGGCTCGTTTGACGTAACCTGGCCTCGCAGTCCGCAGCGTCTCCCAGATTTCTCCTGTTAATGTTTCCTTTGTGAATGATTCCCCGCTGATATGTCACCTTTCTCCTAAGGGGTTTCTCAGGAAATAGATCTCTCCAAGAGTCCATCGCCATTGTTTTTGTGTCCAGAGTAGACTATGTAAGACTTTTCTTAGGCTCCTACCTGGAGTCCTGATGCCGAAGCTGTTTTGACTTGAACACAAATATCTCTAGGCCTCCGTGTCCTAACTTTAAGAGGATCTCAAAGATTGAACGATGCCCGGCGTCAAGATACACATTGAGGATGATTTAAAAGATACTAGTTATTTCAATTGTCATGTTTCTTTTTTCATTATGTTGCAGTAAAAGCAAAACGCCTCCTTATCTAGGCTACATTGCAAAACCCCAGGTGTGACTTTCTGACTTTAATGTGTCGATATTATGTTTTCAAACAAACAGAAAGGAATAGACTGGAGAATAAAGCCATACCAAGAAAAAAGTTGAAAGAGTAATTCAGATTTAGTAAGTGATCAGAAAGTGGAGGATGTTTTCGAATTTCCTTTGTAATCTTTGAGCTTTTAAACCTCAAAGAAGTGGTGAAGTCGTTTCTGAAATTTTAGAGCTGCCACAGACGCTTCATTTTAAATGCGGACTCATTTTTCATAACATTTTAAAAACTAAAGTGCCGTCCAAAAGGATTACAGGAGACAGTTTCATCCAGTATTTGAACATAGACTAAATTACATTAAAGGTATAGGTTATAACTCCAAAATAGGAGATGGGGATCAGTGCCAATTTTTGAGTTAATTCAGTATTCGGTTTGCAGGCAACAGCCACCTAGTTCATCTAATAACACTGAACCACCTTGTGTTCCCCATGTTGAGTTTTATGAATAAATGTTCTTTAGTTCACTTTGGGGGAATTTCAAGAATGATCAGTAGTCTTAATAGAGATGGAAATTATGGTATTTTAAAAGGTTTTGCATTGGCCCTGAGTTAAAACCAAACCATGAGTGAGATATAGTAAAAGATAATAGCATCCATCTGTATAAAATTATAATTTCCAGTTTGCAAGGTTCTCAGTCTCCTGTTTGTTGTTTCTGTTGGCTCTCGCTCATTGTAGCTGGTTTCTTCAAGTGATGTATTATATAGTATTTTAGTAGGAGCTTATCTTCAAAGAAGTTCTTTGTTCTGTGCAAGTTCTGTTCCCTGGGCTGAGAGAGTGTGTACAGACTGGTTTTACAGGGCTCTGGAAGTTTCCGTTGTTTTAAACTAAGGTGAAATTTTAAGCTTCTAATAGAAATTTGGATTCCACTTCCATACATGATACAGACCTCAGGTGTCAGGATTTTTTTACATGCCTTAAAAATATATATTATATAAATATATATATATAAATATACACACACAAAAAAAATATTACAATATGTATATATATAAAATATTACTTACAGATCCTGGGCAAGGAGAACATATATATATGTAATACATATAATATTATGCACAGATAGCAACCCCCTTTTCCAGAGCAGTAGACAATGTTTTTCTAATTCTCTGTGATCACATCCCATCGTTTCCAGGCTTTCAACTTTATTTCAGCAATCTTATCTTCAAGTATGTGTAGGAATCCTGTTGGGAACCAGCCATGGAGGCCCACTGAGCGTTAGGGATCAGGAGGGGCCGTTGACCCCGAGACCACTAGGATGCGTTTGGGAGCTATTTGACCCCATTTCCTCCCCCTTTCTACTCAGCACTAACCAGATTAAGCTCCTGTGAGCTCAAAACATAAAAACTCTGAGGCTGGGACGGACACAAGCTAACTTTAGAAACTCATTGCTCCCATTCTTCCGCAAACTGTAGTTTTGGCTTTCACACAACTTATAATTCAAACTCGTGTCACACCTAAGAGCCTTAGTATTGGTCACAGGCTTCTGGGTCATGATCTTAGGATTTATTGAAGGTGTAAATTGTAGAATATAGTTTTAGAAGACAGCCATTTTGTTGAAAGAATGCGGCTGGGTTACTTGCAGATAGCCCACTGTGAACTTTGGACTGGGCCACATTCCAAACATTCTGGGATGGGCCACTTTCGTTTGTAAAGTAAATACTTAAGCTTCTACAGAATTGTTTAACTTGGCATAAATCAATCAGCTTAGGATGAAAAAGGTTTATAGAATATGTCAGTCACGGATTAGGTTATCCTTTGTTATGGGATTTTAAGATTATCATATGAAAAGGGTTTAAAGGCAATCATTGATTAAGTTTTTATGGATTAAGGTTTCTGGTGGGTGGGGGACGCCCCTCTCACATCTGACTTTGTGTATAAAAGACCCGTTGTAATTCCCAATAACACACATTCGCTTCTGCACTAGACTGGAGTCCAGTCTCTTTCTTTCTCTCTTCTTCCCCACAATCGCCGACGCTGTCTCCACCTTTGGGGTATCCTGAACCCTGCTGAAGCTGGTCTCCGGCAGAATCCCAATCCCTAGGACGTATATTTAGGTAGAGTCCCCCTTTCTGTGTCTCTTTTACTTTCTTATAATTTCTGTGATATATTTTTTTAGTTTATACAAGACATGTAGTATTCAGCATTTTTAAGTGTTTATGGGAAAGGACCTCCTGTGACAACTTAGACTATAATGTTGTCTGCAGTTGATTCTACATCAGAGCAGCTAGAGTAATCTTTTTAAAATAAAAAATCGAATCATGTCTGAATTCCAGTTCCTACATGACCCTACAGGATCTCACCCCTGCCCACCTCTCTTATGTTATGATTTGGCTGTCCCTCCCTTTACTCCACACTCCAGCCAAATTGACATTCTTTGGTGATTTAGAATGTGCCAGACTCTCCTGCCCCTACCCCACTGCTGCCTACCCAGGGCTTTTCTAACTGCTGTTCCTTTGACTATGATCTTTACCTTTTCTTGCTGATTCTTCCTTCTTCTTTATTTAGATTTTGGCCTAAACATCCACATCGATTTTTTTATGACCACCCTGTTTAAATAGTGCCCCCACATTTCTATATTCTTAATTACTTTTACAGTAATAGTTACAATTTCTCAAGCTAGTAACCAGAGATAAGAACTTAGAAGACATCTCTCCCACTGAGAGGTTAGGTTATGGCTTTACCAGGATTTCCCTTTGAACTTAAAGCTACCTATACCCTATTCCCTACCAGTTGCCTGCCTATCTCTCTTTCCTGCCTGACTCTTCATTTCTGTAACCTGGAGTCAGAAGACTGCCTTCCCCAATCTTTTGCCCTCCTTGTCCAGAATCTGTAAGTAAGAATTTTTGAGCTTGTTTCCTATTATGGTGGTGTTTTTCATTTGTACCTTCTATCTGAAGAACAGGGAACTACCCCAAGTTTTCCCCAGGACTCCAGGGAGAACACAGGGTTCTGCTTCCAGTGCCAGAGCAATGGTTAGGCAGGCATAGATGGACACGGGTCAGACAAGAGTCACAAGGGTACCTGCTGGTTAAAACAGGTTCTTGTGAGGGAATCTCTGGTTGCTGGTCAGACAACTAGATATCAGGCTGTCCACCAGATAAAAAGAAGTATCCCATGAAAGTCACTCTATAGACATCCATATCTAGCTCTCCTTCATTTTCTGTTAGGATTGGGTTGCTAGCCACTCTGGTATGTAACTCAATATGGCTATGAGCTCCAAGGCAATAGGTTTTCATCTCTGTTAGATTTATCCTTAAATTGTTAATATCATGATGCTATTTATAAATAATGGGATTTTTTAATTTCAATCTCTAATTATTTTGTATCTATATATGCTATTGTCTGAATGTTGGTGTCCTCCACAAAATTCATTTGTTGGAACTTAATCCCCAGTGTGATAGTATTAACAGGTAGACCTCTAGAAGATGATTAGGTCATGAAGGCAGGGCCCTCGTGAATGGTGTTAGCATCCATATAAAAGACGCTTGAGGGTGCCTGCTTGTCTCTTCTGCCTTGTGAGTGTGTGGCAACAAAGAGATAGCTACGAAGCAGAGATCAAGCCCTCACCAGACACCAAATCTGCCAGCATCTTGGTCTTGAACTTCCCAGCCTCCAAAACTGTGAGCAATAAATTTCTGTTGTTTGTAAATTATACAATCTAAAGTGCTTTGCTACATATAAATAACATTAACTTAAGTTTGTTAATCTTGTATCTCCTAACCATGATAAACACACTTATTAGTTTGCAGTAGGATTTTGGGGGGAGATTTCATTGGATTTTCTACACAAACAACCATGTCTGCAAATAAACACAGTTGCACTTCTTTTTTTCCAATCTAACCAGATTTTTCTTTCTTGCCTTATCACGTTGGCCTGACCCTCCAGTACAGTGTTGAGCAGAAGTGAGATCAAGCACCCTGTCTTGTTTCTGATCTTAAGGGAAAATCCTGAAGTCTTTCAGCATTGTGTGATGTTAACTAGGTTTTTAGTTAACATCACACAACCCTTTATCAGGTTGATGAAATTCCTTTCTGTTTCTAGCTTTCTGAGAACTTTTAGCCAAATGAACAA